ATTTGAACGGCCATTTTGTGTTTTAAAGTTAAGTGTTTTAAAGTCACTGTCTTTCTGCGTTTGCAATATTTTAAAAATGCTTATGGTTTCACTGCAAGAAATAATATTACAAAATGCTATTTTTAGTTCTCTAGGGGGCTAACTTTTAAACTTTTAGACTGGAGGGGGGAGATAGGTAAAAAATTTCTTCTACGGAAATAAGTTTCTAGTAAAAATCTATATACGTATAATAATTTCAGCTTTCTATCCTCAAGAGTGTTGAAGTTTTGTAAACGTGTCCACGGACGAACAAACAGAGTGAAGCTAATAACCACTTTTTTTTCCAAATTTTTTTTGGAAAAGTGCTAAAAATTAACTTTTATCCAAATATCTTACCAAAATATCAATTAATTTTCATTCACTTTTATAAATCTAAAATAAAAAGAAACCAAAACCATAGGGGGTCGCTTTAAAAAATTTAAATTTGAAAAGTGTAAATCGCGAATTAAATAAAATTTTAAGAAGCCTTGTAATATAATTTAATTGGTGTATGCTATAAGTGTGTATACCTATACATAATATAATACACTTAACGGATTTATAGATTTTTCAATTTAAAATCATTGATGATTTAATTTGAAAATAAAATTAATGCATCACCTCATTTTAAAGAAGACATTTTATTTTTTATTTTTAAAATACATAATTAAAAAAAAAAAAAAACATAATTTTAATTGGGTGTTTCTTCAAAATACGAGTATATAGATATAGAAAGAAAAAACAAAATGAAAAAAAAAACGAGGTGAAGATTTCTTCAAACTTAATAATTATGTACTCGAACTCTTCTCTCTATATTATCGTATATTATTAAATACTTATTATATACCAACGACTTGTGTATTTATGTTAGTATTATATATATATATGTATATATTTATAGATGAATTAATTTATTTTAAGAGTATCATTGATAAATTGGAATATTATAATAATTTTTATTTTTTATTTTTTAAATTCAAAACAATTTTCTTTTGATATATTTTTATCCGCTTTTTATTAATTTAAAAATTCAATTATAGATGATTAAAGGTACATTATATAATACACATGTATATGTAAATCAAGATGGATGGTATCTTTGATGGGATTTAATTCAAATTAAAAAAAAAAAATGTGAAAATTCAAATTTTTTCATTTCATTTTTATGCCATAATAATTATTTTTTTGTTTAAAATTAATTTTAATAGGAATTATTGGAATTACGTAAATATTGAAGTATATATATAGAAATACAAAATTGAAGATTTCCGATAATTATTTCAATTTAAAAATTTAGATTATTATATACACTTGAATTATAATAAATTTGTTAAGATGTTTAAACTAGTTCAAATATTTTTGATAATATTTACCTATAAGATTTTCTCTATATATTTTTTTTTATATATCATAGCTTGTATATATACGTTTCATTTAAAATTTAATCCGCGTTAAAATTGCTATACAAAATAATGTACACAAATATGTGAATATTTTAATTACAAGATTTTTTTATTAATGTTAAAGGATTGTGGATTAATTGAAAAATTTTTAAAATATAAAATTTTAGAAACTTTTACAAAAAAATTCTATACATAGAGTTGTGATTTTCGATATAAGCGAAATTTTTATAAGTTTAAGGTAACTCATAATAAAAATTTGTGCTAAAATGTTTGAAGATCACATTACATAAGAGAGAATAAAAAGTGAGGTATCTCAGATTTGTATTATTTTCTCACATCATATTATGTAAATATCTTAAATTTTCTTAAAATATACAAAATTCTATCAGCATTCTGTCATATTTAGTTTTGAAAAATGGCAAATTTAGTGAATATTTTAAAATTTTTGTGTGAGATATTTAAAAAAAAAAGGGAAAAATTTGCATGAGTAATCATAATTTAAAATTGAAAGATTTGATTCGACCAAAAAAAGGTGACTGCTTACAAGTGAAATAAACAATGAAGCCTTAAATTAAAATTTATATTGTGTACAAGCATTAAAAATTGTGAGAGCAAACTAACTTGAATGGTATAATTTTCTAAATTTAAATATTTTTTTATACCCATAACAGATAGTTATCACCTATAATAGATATTTATTTATGTAATTTAGTTGTTCCAATTTTTTTACTTTCGACCTACATTACCAAAGAATTTATATAGAAACTTTATAGAATTTACTATATTTTCAATAATAGGCTTAACTTTAATGGTGAAATTTGTTTTAATTTCCATTTTATGAAGTTTTTATTAAATTGTAAATACAATGAAATTGTAAATTCCAGCTCATATTAATAATTCTAATTAACGTTTTCAACGTTATTTTATTTTACATATTCGAGAATAATTTTATTAAGTATTTGATGTATTTAATGTATCTCGACACTGTAAAAAATATTTTTCAAAAAGGTACTGAAGATATCCGCATTGTACTTAATAAAGTAAATTCTCTTCAGTCATGTTATTTATTTTGCAATTTATTAGAGGGGAAGGTTAATTTACGGTAGAGTCGATTAAGAATCGCTGATAACTTTAAAGCTATAAAGATAAGAGACTAAAATGAGCTCCAAAATTTGACAAAGACACAATTTGTTCTATACTTGTACCCAAGTGAAGTATAATTAAGATGCAAAGCACCACTTTAAAATTTGACAATTTAAAACTTTTTTTATATCAAACTTATTCAAAAATTAAAAAACAAAATTTTCTTAAATTTTTGTTATTTGACTATGAAACTTTTTATTTTCATCGAGTTTTTTTTTTTTACAATTCGAACTTTTACTATATTTAGAATGAAATTGTTCGAATTCTTTTATATTTGTTTTCGTTTTACAGAAAAATTTTTTTCAGTGTACATTTTAATTTAATGCCCCAATTTAACTATAATTCAACAGTTAATTCAAATTTTATAGGTGTTAAAATCATAAAATTATTTTCAAAACAAGTTTGCATACACATATACATATATATTTATACAAATATGTTCAACATTAAGTATTTAATATGCAAGAACAATATCTTATTAAATATAATGTAAAGCAACAGCATCCTGTCTCAAAATATTTTGGATTCTTTTCCATTCAACAAAGAATACAAAAGCATATTTGTTCTTTTCTTAAATCTCTATGTGTGTATATGTGTTTCTTTGTTTTTGTCCTTCATATTATATGTACATTAAATGAATAAAATGCAAAAAAAAAAATTGAAAGAAATGAGAATCCTTTCAAAAATATTAAACTTGTTTTTTTTTTCATTTTATTTTAAAGACTAGACTTTAAAAAAAAAAATTAAAATATAAAGAAAAAGTGAGATGATGCTAAATTTTAATGAATCGCATGCCATAACCTCAACCTTCATCAGTCATTTCCTCATTTACTTATTATTATTTTTCTTGTGTTGCTTGTGTTTTTTGTTATTTTTTTTTGTTTTAAAGCTTTAACATATTTTGTCAATATTTCACACCTCAGATAGTTTTGAATGTACGCTTATTTTATTCTTGAATGGATTCCGCGTTTTTTCTTTTTTTCTTGTTTTAGGTCTTTGTATTTTCGTATCTTCTTTAAAACAAGAGAAACCAAAATAATAATAGTAATATAAGAGAAGGAATCCTTTTGTAATTTGTTTTACCTATACCTTATCATCTTACATTAAAATAACCCTTTATAAATGTATAAAAAAATTATTTAAAGGCAAAGAGCACAAAATGCTTTGGGTTTACTCAAATGAAATCCAATTTTTTTTATTATTTTGCTTTTTTTTTTTTAAAAAGAAGGACTTCTTTTGTCCTATATCTAAAGGAAGAACAAAAAACTCATTTTAATTAATTAATTATTCAGATTTTCTTTATTATTAGGTACTATTCAGATTTTAACTTTAAAAAATTAAAAATAAAAAAAAAAGTTTAATTCCCGATTCAGTGTGAATTCACGATTATTTTGTTTGTACAGTCTTACTCCATGACACATAATTTAAAGGTTAACACTCCAGAATTTGGTAAAATTGTGTTAAAGGTTTACTTATATTTGATGTAGAACAAATTCATTTAAAAATAATTAATAAAATCTTTATTTTTTAAATGCCATAAGTCTCAAATTTCTTTTTAATTTAAAGAAAAACAAAAATTATTTTGCAGATATTTAAACTTTAAGAAGTGTCACATTATACTGCAAAAGAAGAAAGAAATGTGCATTGCTTAAGATTCTAAATCTGCACCAGCTTTAAGGGGGTATAAAATTTTTAAAATATGTATAATAGATATTAATTATTAAGAAATTAATGCCATGAATGAAATTACAATTGAATTTACTTAATTTCGTTCGGATTTTGTCCTTATTTGTCTGCCTTTAGTAATTTTTTTTTGTCTGTTCTAATTAAATTACCCTTACATTAATGATACAACTTTAAGGTTAAATTTTTCTTTCTAATAAATAGTGCGATATAAAAATTAGAATCTTTTACGGCATTTGTTAAATTTCACATACAATTCGTGGAATTCGGAACGCTCCACATCAATTTCATGTCCAAATTCCTGTTTTTGATTGAATTTCAAGAGTATTTTATGTTACTAAAATTTAAACCAGGTGAAATTGAGGATTTTCAACATATTTTATTATTTAATTTCTATATTAAAGACTCCTTAACCGATTTGTAACAAGAAAAGTAATTATGCTTACATATTTTGGTATAAATATTATGTATTAAGAAAGGAACAGCTAATAAAATGTGCGAAACTGAAGCTTATAGTTGTAAGGAAAATTCCGCAAAAATATTTCACAAAAGCTTGTAGGATTATGCTTAATTCTATATTTCTCAAAGACTACCACTACCATAATTATTATCCGAAATTATAGGACGAAGAAACAAGTTATCCTTATAAAAAGTGTATGACTTTTCATTCCATAATTAAACAAATATCATTGTATTGTACAGTTTACTATATAAATTTATTTTTAATCAATTTATTTAAAATAATTTACTAACCTGTATTCGATCTTCAGGTAAATCTGTTTTTAATGATAACATTTCTCTAGCATAAACATCAGGATAATGTGCTTCCTTAAATGCTTTCTCTAATTCATCTAATTGATAGCTAGTAAATATTGTACGACTATGACGACGTTTTTTCTTTTTCTTTTTACTACCAAAACCATTAATACCATCTATTGTAAATTCTTTGCCATCTAATGTTCCTGAAAATGTAAAAATGATGCTAGTGATATTACTTTATTATTATATTATAATTAAATTATGCAAATATTAATAACATTTCAGAAATTTCTTAATTAAGTAATGGGAACAGGTCATTATTCCAGAGAAAATTGCTCTCGCACTCATACACCTATAATATTTCAGGGTACATAGTAACTCCGATACTTATTCACTCTTAAATCAACTATAGACAATTTTATTATGGTGTACAAATTTTATTTATTTAATTTACAGATCCAGCACACAGTAAATAGCATTTATTTCGGATATAAGTACGTCTTCTATTTTTATATTGAAAAGTATAAAATTTGAAATAGACCAATTTAAAAGTATGTATTTAAAATTATTTGGAACAGTGTTGGCAGCAATTTAGCCTAGCCCCTAGCTCCTAAAAAGAGGCGACAGTAAAACAAATCTACTCAATACAATTCCAGAGATTTAACATATGGGAATTATATAAAGTATTTAAGACCTTCTCATTTCGCATTTTGATTATAATTCATACTAACGTGAAAACTAGAAAATTTATTTAAAATAATTAAAATTCATAAAATGCTATTCACTATTGTTTTGCACTTATATAATTTGAGTAAATAATTTTCAATCTATAAATTGGATATACAGGTATAGGATATAATAAATAAGCTAAAAAAAAACTTAATAAATGAGAAAGGCACCATACATTGAACCATAAGAGCGTATACAAAAAAAAAGACAAAAGCATATTCCCTAATTGCCTTTTAAAGCAAAAGATTTTAATTAACCCTCATACCAAACGCAAACCTTTCAAAGAAACCAAAAAAAAAATCCAAATAAATGTGCAATAATATAAAATTGTATGAAATTCATTTTACCACATGGTTTTATGAACCAATTAAAAAGGACATTTTTCTATTTATTTTATTTTTTCTTATTTTTATTTCATTTTTTGGTCTGCTTATACTCGTTTCTTTTTTTTTTGCTCACATCGAAATGATGATGATTTCTTTTCGTTTTTCTTTTTCTCTTTTTTTTATTCTTTTTCAAAACTCGCAAAATTCTCAAGAGTACCGAACTGGAAATTAACATCAACTTTTAAAAGTGTTAATCGCACCGTAAAATTGATACATAATGGCGGCTGATGTCATTATATCCATCATCGTTACTACAAATGCTTGTGGTTATTTTCTGTATTCCAAGTATCATGATTTCGAGATAACGTTTATTATTAGTGAAATGTGATCAAACTCTGAATTCATTCACACCGTGCAACAAGGAGCTACTTTCTAGAGTTCGTTAAGAGAAAAGGCAATAAGAGAACTGAAAATCTGGTTATTAATAGAATTCTAGAATTCATGTAATTTTCCAATTATTTTACAAGGGACGAGCTATTTTTTAGTAAGTTGCGCTAGTCATGTATTTTGAAACCAATGTTATGGACAATTAGTAGTGCAAAAGAATTGATAGTAAACAATATATTTCCAGTAAACTGGTAAACTTTGCAAAATTTTAAAGATTTACGATATATGAGAAGGAAAAATAATGTGAAAATACACTAATGTCGAAAGATTTTATTGAATGTACATTAAGCGTTCTAAATAATCACTTAAATTCTACAAGTAATTCGAATTTCTACAAATAATTACACTAGTTGTAGAAAATTTTACATCTAGTGTAATTACTTGTAGAAATTCTATAAGAAATGCTGAGGTTTTAGAGCCTGAATTTCTTTACTATGCATGTAATTTGTAGAAGTAATTACACTATAGATAACATAAACTATAAATCTTCTTACCTTTCACTTTGCTGTTAGTTTTAAAAACATATTAATTTTGCACAATTTCTCATATTCCATATAATGAAAATTTTCGGCGTATTGTGTGTATTGCAATTATTCTCTGTATAAAATTAAAATAAGGGTAAAACTTTGGACTATATTTCAAAAATTTTTAACATAATGCGCAAAATAATCTTTTTGAACGTTAATAGTCGCATTAGTCATATTCATTATGTTAGATTCCCAAATTATTGAAATATATCCTTAATATAGAGGCTTTAAATTTTATAAAATAATTTTTAAAATTTTAAGTAGTTAATTGTATCTCTTAACTTATTTTCTTTAATCCTAAATATTGAAAATAATTCCAAAATCCCAAGGGTACAGTCGAGACTTATTTAAGTGAGTTTAGAAATAAATAAAAAAACCATGAATCGTCTATACATTTTAGAAGATTGGTATGAGATTTTCAATTTAATTGACAAAAAAAAAATGTCCTTCAAAACAACAACTTTTTTCTTTAAGTATGAAGTTTGAAAATTGTATTGAATAAAAAGAAAAAAAAAAATCTGCTTATTAAGCAAAATTTTTCAATTCACTCCTCGTGCGGTTTTTTTTTCTGCTTTTCGTTTAAAAAACGCTTACAAATTACATAGAGAGAAATTTTTTTTGTGTATTATTGAAAATTGGGAATTAGATGAGGATATAATTGAAAAATAAGTTAAAAAATAAAAATAAATATGGGGAACGAAGTTAATTTCTTAAGGACAAAGCAGGAAAGATTTTTTTATGAAGAAAAAAAATTTTAATTTCAAAAATTTCTTTTTTAAAATTTCAAATATAATGAAAATTAATCTGCAATTGAGTTGTTTTTTTTTTTATTTCCAAAGAAAATCTAAAATTTCTTATTAAATTTTTTTTTTTTGAAAAGAGAGATTAACTAATTTTTTGTAAACAGTTTTTGGGGGGTTTCTCGGATGAAGCAATTTTAATGAATTTTTATTTGAAAATAAACAACAGTCATTCATAGGATTTTGTTTTGTTTTGTACAATTTTGAGCACAAAACTTATTTTGTTAATAAAAATATTGGACTAGTGGGATGGAGACGGTATCGTGAACATTCTATTCATGTAAAATTGTTTTTTGAATACGGTTTAGAAAATATTAGAAATTGTGAAAATTTTTTTGATCTTCTAACGAATTTGTTCTTACACAATATGTTAATTTTTGCTATGTACTCTCATTATTTGTACAACAATATAACTATTGTAATGATTCTGTTCTCGCCAACAGTACAATATTAGAATTACAATGTACAACATTGCTAGAAACGCCGTAAATCACCGTTTTTTGAATATTGGAAGTAGTGGAATTTTTATTCCAGAAAATGTAGTGGAATATTTCATCAAAGATAACCTTTATAAAACGACAACTTTACTTAAGAATTTACTTTAGATTAACTTACAAGGTCTCACGGTACTCTGAAATAATAGCTCCATACAAATCAATTAATATATAAGTCCCATAGTAAGTTTAATTGTCGAGTCAAAATTTTATTATCATAATATTATTCAATCGGTAACTGTGGGCTTAATTGTAAAGTTTTATATATTAGCAATTAATGTAGTTAGAAACCGCATCAACAGAATACCCTATTATGCTCTACTAGTCAAAATTTAATAAGTTCTCAATAATTTGACTGATATCATCTTACAATGGAAGCTGCTTACAGACTTTCAAACCTGTTATAACTAACAATATCTCCATATTTCAGTATTCTGTTATGAATACCTAGCCCATAACAATTCTATAATTGCTTGGTTTAACTATAAAATTGTACTTTAGAAAAAAATTCTTCATTACAAAACTATAATTTTTACTTCTCTTATAAAAAATTCTTACTATAATAATTTTTTTTCGAAACTAATCTCATTTTAACTAATTATAAACTAAGATTTTTATTTACTTACCTCAAATTAACTATTCACAAAATAAAAATCATACCAAAAACCAAAAGAAAAAAAAATTTCGTTTAGAAAATAAAATGAACATTTTTAAAATATTTGAAGCATAAAATTTCATTAGTTTTTGTTTTTTTTTGTTATTAAAAAAATTATTTTATAATTTGGAAAAGAAAGCTTCCTGCTTTTTTAAGTCCTTATTTTTTCATAATATACTTGCGATACGCTAAGCAACCCACCACAAAATATAATAAAAAACGCATATACATTGAAAACGTAGAGAAAAAAACAACAATAAATTCAACAAATTCTACCATATTTGATCCTGTTCCTTTTATATCCTTTTTTTTATTTTTCATTTTAATTTTTCTGTTTTATTTTATTTTTCTCCGTTTGGAGTTTTATTTTTTAATTTGCTCTTAAAATACAATAAAGGAATTCCCTATTCGCAATGAAATATGAAAAAAAGAAGCAGAAAAAATTACAAGGATTTTTTGTACTTGAAATTTATTTTTTTTTTGTTTTGAATTGCAAAGGATAATTCATATACATATTTATATGTACCTAGTTTTATATATACAAACATTATTATCTTCAATATATACGTATGTGCATATAATATGCATATAAATTCTAAATTAGGGTTGGGAGTGCTGTCAACAATTCAAATTTTTGCGTTTTACTTTTTTTTTTCTTTTCGTTTCCTACAATCTTAATATGTTTGTAGTATATGCAAAAAAAAAATTTTAACTTTTTAACGTTCTACATTATAGCAGAGCTATAAAAGTATGAAAAAAAAATAATTTCCAAATCAAATATTTACACACATAAACTCACAAACATACACTCGGTTTTTTAAGTTATCCTTTTAAAGTTATGGTTGCTCTCACTTTCCTTTTTTTTCATTCACATTTAGATTTTCTTATTTTTATTTTATTTATGAAATTATATACGAAAAATATAAAAAATGTTGTTAAAGAATTGCCGATAAAATGAAGCTCAAAGTGTTAGAAATTCAGAAAAAAAAAATAAAAAATCGCGTTTTTAATACTAAACAGAGAAATAAATTAAGAAAAATAACGGAAGGTAAAAAAAAAATATAAAAAATAAAACGGAATTGCTATGTAAAGTTGTCAGTGAGTTTTTGACTTTTAAAAGTAAAAATGCCAAACATAAAAATCATAGTCTTCCTTAATTTAACACTCAGGTTACCTAACCATTTTATCAACTTAAATTTATTTAATAACAATTTTTCTAAGTTGT